GACCACACAAAGATGCAAATAGACCTGGAGTATGTTGCACAAGATGAGCCTGAAAGAACTGAGGTTATCCCACTGGAAGAAGACAGTATTGCCTTCAACTACCTCCTAGGAGGGTACAGAAAAGACAAGTCAGGTTTATCTGAGGTGTATAGTAAGGATGAGTGTCAGAAAACCAAAAACTCCAATCAGATAACAGGTAAACTTGCTGGGTTTTCTGTTGTTGCTGTTTTTTCAAACCACAAGTGTGTTAAAATGCTGGAGAAGGTGACCAGAAACATTGTGGGATCTCGATCCTTGAAGATATTCAGAACTCAACTGGACAAGGTCCAGGACAACCTGATCTAATTGCACCTGCTACAGAGCAGAGGACTGATCATCTCAAGAGGACCCTTCCAACATTAATTTCCATTATTCTAATGTTAGATGCTACGGGATACTGTGAGCATGCTTTCTACTCATTCACTGCACAATAATCATCAATAGGAATTAAAAATGCTTGGAACAGACAAGTGGCTGCTCTTACCAGCTTCTCCTACTCCTCCTTCCAAATGCCTCAAGATCCCAAAATTTTACCAAAGCACTTGGTAAACTTTGGGATGCTGGTCAGCATAAAGCTTAGAAGTCTTGCCCTTCTAGAGATCTTCATCAGACTTGGACTCTGGTGACTGTTCTTAGCTCATATTCTCATTATTGTGAGTAGCTGAAGGAAAAACTGCACATCATCCTGAGATAGCTGTAGTGGGTTGACCCTGCCCATCAAAGCTGTTCTGTCACTCCCCTCCTCAGCTGGACAGGGCAGAGAAAATGTCATGAAAGGCTTGTGAGTTGAGATAAGGACAGGGAGGGATCACTCACCCATTACTGTAATGGGCAAAACAGGCTCATCTTGGGGAAATTAGCTTATTACAAATGAAATCAGAGTAGGATAATGAGAAATAAAAAACAAGCTTAAAACACCTTCCCCACACCCCTCCCTTCTTCCCGGACTCAACTTCACTCCCAGTTTTCTCTACCTCCTCCCCACCAGCGGTGCAGGGGGACAGGGAATGGGGTCTGTGATCAGTGCATCACGTCGTCTCTGCTGCTCCTTCCTCCTCAGGGGAGGACTCCTCACACTCTTCTCCTGCTCCAGTGTGGGGTCCTTCCCACGGGAGACAGTGCTCCACAAACTTCTCCAACATGAGTCCTTCCCACAGGCAGCAGTTCTCCACTAACTGCTCCAGCATGGGTCGCCTCCACTGGTGCAATCCTTCAGGCACAGGCTGCTCCAGCGTGGGTCCCCCAGGGAGTCACAGGTGCTGCCAGCAAACCTGCTCCATCCTGGGCTCCTCTCTCAATGGGCCACAGGTCCTGCCAGGAGCCTGCTCCAGCGTGGGGTCCTCCAGGGGCTGCAGGTGTATCTCTGCTCCCCCGTTACCCTCCACGGCTGCAGGGGCACAGCTGCCTCACCATGGGCTGCACCACGAGCTGCAGGGGAACCTCTGCTCCGGCGCCTGGAGCACCTCCTGCCCTCCTTCTGCACTGGCCTTCACGTCAGCAGTCGTTTCTCTCACATATTCTCAATCCTTTCTCTGCTTTAGTTTTCACAGGTTTTTTCCCCTTCTTAAATGTGTTGTCACAGAGGCACTACCACCATCGCTGATGGGCTCAGCCTTGGCCGGTGGCAGGTCCCTCTTGGAGCCGGCTGGCATCGGCTCTGTCAGTCATAGGGGAAGCTTCTAGCAGCTTCTCACAGAAGCCCCCCCTGTAGCCCCAATCCGCTATCAAAACCTTGCCACACAACCCAATACAATAGCCTTAAAGCTTCTCATCATTTTTTAATCACATGTTAAGAGCAGACTCGACATAACTGTACAAGTAACTTAGATGATGGCATCTCTTGTGGTGGGAGAAAAGACTTAGGGCAGACTTTTTATAGCTTATGAGTTTACAGGAAATCAGACAGAGTGAGATGCACTGGATGCATTTTGATTGTTGAAAGTTGGGGAAGATCTGTAAGTGTACCCAGTTACAAGTCTAATTTCTCAAATTTAAAATAAATCTTGAAGATAGCCTTATGGATTGCAGTGCTTACCATAACTGGATGCCAAAGGGGACACCAGGAGGACCAAAAAAATCTTGACCTAGTAATAACCACAAACTCTGCTTCCATTACTGCTTCTGGACCTTGTATGAGCAGGTTTTCAACTGCTGTCTAGAACCTGCTGGGTTCGTAAGTTACTTTCGAAGGATCTAAGTAGAAAGAAATTATGAAAAGCAATTGTATTAGCAGGAATCTTAAGCTTGCTACACTAAAAAAACCCCCAAAGGACTTAAAGTTTGAAAACCACTCCCTTTGACAAGTGAAGTAGTTGTTTCCTCTCTTTAATGAGAAGTTAGTGGATTCCACTTTCCAGATTTTTGTGTACTCCCACAGTAGCATGCTACTTACACTGAAAACCCCACTGCTGACGTTTATGCTGCTTCTGAAGAGCTGGTTTTCACAAAAACTAAACCAAGTCTTAATTTCTTTCTTTTACATTTGAGGTTTTCCAGGAATTATGTTAATATCCTGGATTATACAGTCTTTAAAACAAGGTCCCTGCCTGTATCTGACAAGTGCCTAGCACAGCAAGACTCACTAATGTTAGAGAATTTGAGCATATTGTATCACATCCTGCTTGAAATTTAAATGCTAGCATATGACTCAAACACAATAACATCTGATAATAGGCAAGTACAAGAAGAAAAGAAGCCTTTTTCATTAAGTCCAGGAAAACACAACAGTGGGAAAAAGTCTTGGTGCCCTTCCTCACATTATCTGCCCTTCCAGAGCAGACTGGTTCATTGAACAGAACAAATATAAGACACGCACCGTGTGTACCAGTAGAGTTACGAAGTTACTTGACTTAACATTCCAGCTTGATTTTAGAGGTGCAGAGAAGATCATCAGAAGACACTGAGATAGAATTACACAGGAAGGATGGGCATTCACCATTCATTTTTGCTGTAATCATGAAACAAGGATAGCAAAATGCCTAGTCCAAATACAGATTAGAATCTCCTTAGCTAGAAATGCAGCTCAGGACAGTGTAGGAGTTGACTGAAAGCAAGACACAATTCTGTTTCAACCCACTCCTCCTTAGCTGGTTAAGTCAGTGTTTATAACACCAACTCTCCTTACAAACGGAAAGGGCACTGGGTGAAAAAGTCTGACTCCAAACAGTGACAGTCACAGCTACTGTGGGTAGATTTAGTAAATACATAAGCATATTAATGGATTACATTTAACTTTTACTGTTTAGATGCTATCTGACAATTTTCAGCCTCCTCCTGTAATCACAAAACAAATAGGAACAGGGTTCTGCACCAACTCAGATATAAGCAACGGGGTTCAGGTTACTACACCAAGTCTCAGCTAATAACAAAACATAACAGCTTTACTAGGGCCCTCCGGTGGGCCCTTAATAAAGGAAGACCCTTTTCCTTATTCTTTCATGTTTTTAATGGTAACAGCAAATTTCTTTCCCTTTTATAAGTACAGTGTATGTGGTACCACTGGTGTCTCAAAGTGACTTTCTGCTCTTTATTCCTAAGGACATGGATTTATAAATTTTCTGATTTTTAAATTTCATAGTTAGTAATATACTTTTTAGGTTTTACAGGACAATAAAATTGCTTGCCAGAGGTTTCTGACTTAAAACTCTACACAGCAGATTGATGTAGGCCTCTTGATCCTTCTTACCACATTTCTGCCAAGTTAAAATATAAAATAGCTGTTCTACTAATTGCACCCATAGATTTGTGTCCAATATCCAGATAGACTCCTAAAGCTGACTCCATTTTCCCTTTGATCTTGCATATCCTGTTGCTTGAAAAAATACAGACAGGTGATGGAAAATGCTGGAGCTATTGCATGTACAACTGCTCAAAGACCAATTAACACCAAAAACCCCAAAATGAACAAGAAGCCAAAATGGACTAAACCCACAACAGCTGGTGGTCATCAAGGCAGTTTTCCCAGAGGGCAGAAGACTGTTACTAATAGGATGGAAATACAAAATTTACTGAGACCAACTGTAACTGCTGATAACATATACTGACAAGTGCCTCATTCCTCACATTTTCTGCAGAGTGAGAGTGAAGCTGGACAGCAATCATAACTTTTATTCTGAGGGAAAAAAGTGGGAACTGAAACAGAGAACCACTGAACAGTGAGTACCAGGAGCTGATTTTACCACAATGCTATTTTCATCACATTTTAAAACAACATTCAAGTGATTCTACCCATATCAATACATTAGTTCCCAGAGTTTAATCAATATAGTATAGTTCATTAGGAACTGCCCACTCAGATTCTCTTACATTTTAAATTATTTCAATTACTGCAAGACCTGGATGCTAGAACCCCCAATAGAAGATTAAATGAAGTTGTATGTTCTCCCTTTATAACAGCAGAGGTTTTGAGATGTTTCAATCACATTACATAAACTTACATTCCTCTACTAACACAAAACATACACTCTTGGCCCAGGAGACAAATACTTCTTATGCTGTTTCCAGCCAATAATTTTAACTGCAAATCCAGAGTAAACATAACCTCTTCAGAGCTGGGAACACGTTTGTATGCAGGGAGAACAGCTCACTGCATTACAGTGATAACACCACCTACTAAAATCATGGCACATACTGAACAGACAGACACACGAGGGTCATGATGTTCTTTGACACAGTACTGAAAAAAGTAACAGAAGTTTGGAGACACTGAAAAAATCAGGATTTTTTTATACGCTACCACCAAATAATATATACTGAAAGGTAGAAAAGCTTTTTTTACTCAGTGATGATTCATTTGCAGCTCATTCCTAAAAGACAAGTAGTAAGGGACTCCAAGAACAGCTGTTCAACAGCACAAGTTATAATGCATTTATTTATTATTTATTATCTGATTTATAATACAGATGAAGCAACAGTGCTAAATAGAACAATTTATCATTCTGCCTGTTTTAAATGTGGTTCTTTCAGTGCCTTGGTGATGGTCTTCCAGAAGATGGCTGAGGCTGCCTGAATTTTGAGAGATACGCAACAGAATCAGCAAAGGTATAAATGTTATATTCATGATGCTGAAGGTTCTTGTAAGTAGAATTATCAAATTCTTCTGGAGCAGGCTCAGCAGCTGCTGTGCCCTCTGTGAAAACAAACAGTAACCAGTGACTACAAGGATGCCACACCACAGGGCAATATTCTTAATTACAAGCCAGCCTTCATATACTGTCAGATCCCTCATCCAGTCAACATTAAAAAAAAAAGTCAGCAACTATAACAAAAGGATAAGTTTACTAACTTCTGCTGGTAGCTTGTCTGGTCCTAAAACAGCACTGCAGTATGCTACAGGAGAACAGGAAATCAGTACAAGTCATCTATACAGCACATGTTTTCAAATCCAAACTATCACCTAATGCTCGGGGAGGACAGGGCAGAACATTTCATTTATATTTTGAAGACATATGCCTGCATTTTCTAGCTTTGTCACAGTTGCCTTGGTTTTCACTCCAGACAGAACAGTAAGTGACATTCTTAGCATGCCAGGAGAGGCAATGCAGTAGTACAAATAATATATCATCATGTCAGACCACGAGATACAGCTACTAGAACTACTTTAAAGACTAATTTTTTTCCATTGGGAGAAGTGATGGAATTACTGAGATCTCCACAGTTTAATTTCAAATGAGGTTACACTCAATAGTAATATATCAAGAGCCTTCGATGCATTTCCTTTCTTCTAAATATGATCTTCTAACCTTTGTATCAGCTCTTCTTCCTAAAAGAATAACCTAATAAAGTTATTCAGAACTCCTTACTTCAAGTTAAAGCCAAGACTAATTCTTACACTTTTAGAATATTATGTAAATGTAGGCAGTACCATTTACATAAAAGGTTTCTGCTATGGGCCGATTTTAAAACCAAGGAAATGGCAAGAAATAAAACTTTACTCCCAATATTAATTTATTCTCATATTTACAATAGGAAAGACAATAAGCATAATCTAGTGAAAAGCTTCATCATATAAAATTTGTGTATAATGGTCTAGGTTAGGTCATATTAAGCTTCTTTTTGTAATACAACCATCTACAATAAAAATACAAGAACTCACATGAATGAACAGCAGAACTGCCCTTTAATTATGCCATAATTATTGCAATGTAATGCTATTATATCTGTAACATTTAGCAAGACTTTCTTACAAAATGCAATGTAGTAAGCCATGGTTTCAGCAAAACAACACACACAACCTATGAAAGGAAATATCCCTGTGCCTACTGCACAGTTCCTACTGAGACAGCTCATAGGAGACAACACTACAGATATAAAAGCCCGATGATGCGGTCTTTGCTGCAAATAGCCCTAAGAACAGGCAAGCGTAGGCAAGTGTACATTCAACCTGCAAGAGACAGTTGTTCCAAATTAAGAGACAGATGCTCAGGAAGAGAAGC